ATATATCCTGTCAGAGTAGGTCTCCCAGACACAGGATGCTGGAGTCCGTCTATAAGAATAGGGAGTAGAGAGGGCACAATGAGATCGACTAAAAAAGAGGGACAGAGATAACCTCATGCGCCATGCGGGGAAGCCGGGAAGGGTTAGGCTTAGTCACAAGACCCGCTGCCCACCTGGGCACCGGGGCAGGTGAATATCCACATCCATTGTATGCATCAAAGCCTTAAGAGCATTCAAACCATCTGACTCTACGATATGTACTGACTCACTCTAGAGTCCAATATAATTTATCGATTCTACTGTTGCGCCACATGGCTATCGCATGATGCATTCCACCCCATAAGGGATCCTGCAAATACATCGTATACTAATACTCTACTAATATATCATCTTTGATTTTGTCTTCAAATAGGTCACAAGACAAGTGGGTATGATGAAGGTCGCTTATAATTAAGAAGAACCATTCTTCATAATGTACATTACTCCCAGAGGCAGGTCTTCGAGGTCCAAGGTTGTCTTTGTTGATCAGATGCTCATACATCAATTTTCAATTTTCATCAAACGGCCTTTCATTTCTGAGTAGAAGTCAGCATGATTGAAGTTAAAGGTTAAGGACGGGTTTCCATACCATTATGGCAATCTATCGTGGCGCCGGCACGTACCTCTTATGTGTATGTGTCCCATGCACACCCACACTCGGCCTGTGGACCCATACAGGTTCAACTGAGGAGTGGCCATGCCGGCGAATACTAGATGATATGTCCATCATTTGTAGACAATTCTGGTAGGAAGGTGGGCAAAGGTTCGAACGAAACAGCGCGAGGTATGGAGAAAAATGCGAGAAAAAACAAAGCCCAGGTATCAATAGAAGATCACAAGCAATGTATGCAGGTCAATTTTTATCGTTCCCATCCATCAGGAAGGCTTATTCCCGGTCGCCGCCAGCTTCGGGGCTGCGACTCCGGTTGGGGCTTCTGCTGCGATTCCGAATAGCACGGCCCTTTGGCCCTCCATTCTTGTTCTTGCCTGATGGGGGCGGGCGGACAAAAGCATAGTCGACACGAAGCGTCTGTTCGAGGAGCTTGTAACCGTTAAGGTTCTGGATAGCTTCACTGGCTTCGGGGAGCGTGGAGTATTCGATCAATGCGTAGCCCTACCAAAATAGTGGTGTTAGTAATCCTTTCATTGGACGCGAGTCAAGAAGGGTCCCCTTGTTTCAGAAGGAACGTTGTTGGGGGTCGGTTCAGAGGTAGTTGTGAAATTCAGGATGCGCACCTTGACATAACCCGTTCGCCGATCAAGGTTCAGGCTGAAGTTCTTGATTTCACCATACTCCGCAAAGAGTTCGGTAACATCCTCCTCCGACGATTCTTCGTGGATATTAGACACAATGATAATCCATCCTTCGATACTGCGCACGGCGACAGCGTTCCCCTGGGTGCGTGGTTCAAAACTGCGGTCCGATTGCTCGGGAGCGTCGTCGTTTGCGACAGGAGTGTCAATTTCCATCTCGTTCGACATATTGTGAGGTAGGGAAGCAAGAAGACTAGTGCGACTGTGTTGATATTATGTTGGGAGGTTTAATCTGCACGTTTGTAGTGGCCAATGAGTCTGTATCGCGATCTGAAGTCTGCAGAGGGCGGAGGGCGGTCTTATTGGGCAACCTCCGTCAAGAAGCTTGCAATCACATGACCACAACCTGCCCCTCTGATAAGTTCGAGTCCATTGCATTGTGCAATATGTGCATGTATCTAGATGATATTATTAGTCTCTGGACCTTAAGCAAGCAACAAGATGCTAGGTAACCAGTATATTCTTGTTGCAAAGGCAGTCATGGGTATTAAATCACTACCAAAAATCTACCATATTCAACTATGTTGTAGCATTAGCCATATCTATGTCAACTATCTAGTAGTGATTACTAGTTATGTGTTATATTTCTTTGCTTTTGTCGACTTCCAAGTCGGAGTTTTTCAGACTCCAATGGTTGTCACTATGCTTCCGGATGCAGCAGAAATGTCAAGGGAGTGGAGATTGTATTCACTACATACCCTATCTGCTATGTTTCTCGGCAAGTAAAAACAGTGATTGACTGACTGGTCTTGCCCATCTGAAGAAGCATCAAAGTTTAAGACCAAAAAAAAAAATAAAAAATAAAAATATGAACAGTTGGTCCATCAAATACACGGTTGTAAAATGACTGAGAAAAAAGAAGGCGAAACAACAATTCTGATGTTACAAACCCGATATTAGGTTGCACACTTAATATAGTGGATATGAAGGAGCTTAACGACGGTGGTTGTTGCCCATGCCGAGGATCTGGACCATGCGGATAAAGATGTTGATGAAGTCCAACTCGAGGCTGACTGACTCATTGACCACATCACGCTTAATCAAGCCGCGCTCGGCAAGACGAGCATGGTGCAGAATCTTCTGCACGTCGTAAAGAGTGAAACCACCGAAGACAGCAAGACCACCGTACAGCCAAACGCGCTCAGACCACATCAGAGTGCGAGCGGCAGTAGCAGGGAGGACCATGGGGGCGAGACCAGAGAGAGCAACGATGGCCACACCAGCAAGAAGGGGACCACCCAGGTAAAGGTACTTCTCCTGCTTGGCAGTGGCACCGACAAAAGCGATTGAGCCCATCATGCCAACAGTGTAAAGACCAGCGCGGGCGAGAATGGCAGGATTCATGAACATCAAGGGGGAGAGAAGAGCGGCCTGGGTAACGTTGAAGAGAGTCCAGCAGCCATACTTCAGAACGTAGCTTAATTGAAAAGTTAGCTATTATTCTCCTGAAAACAAAGAAGAGAGGGTAAAAAACTTACTTATCCGGGGAAGTGTAGAAAGTGCCGTACATGGACCCGATGCTGCCAACGAGACCTACGCCCATGACGAGCCACGGGTTCATAGCCATAAGACGATAAGACCAGCCACTCATGTGGAGGGCGCGAGCAGCAACACCAATTATACCGATACCAAGACCAGTGTGCACAAAAGTCTCATTCAGGAAGCTCCGCTCGTAAGCGGGCATACCGCCATCCTCTCTCGTTTCGCGGTTGAAGATGAAGTTGGTTGCCAAAATTGTACCACCAATAATGGCAGCGCCATATACCAGTTTCTGGGTCAAGTTACCATCCTGAGCAGGGTTGACACTCTGCTGCATGTATGTACGACGGAAGGCATTTTGGAAGTTCTGGCGAGACTGGGCGAAGATCGAGGAAACGCCCTGAGGCTTTGCTGCTTGGGTTGGCTTGATGGGAGAATTGTGAATGAATCGGGCGGTGTTTGTGAGCTTAGGGACCTGGCGAAGTGCCGAGGATACAGCGAACGGGCGCCGTAGGAAGAAAGCCATTTTCGCAATGGGGAGTGTCAAGAGCTAAGATTGAGGAGGTCTCTAAATGTCGGGACCGCGGATGATATGGAGGCGATTACTCATGTTCCGTCGGCGACCGCTTAAGTCCGGAAAATTCCAGAATTAGTCACGTGGATCAAGAAGTGGGATAGACAGTGAACTCCAGGGCTCACTTGATTGTTTAATCAGATCAGCTTGAGTACACATACGTCATCAACTTTCTAATTTCGGTTTCAGTTCGATTTTAGTCATGGCCTCAAGTCTAGAGACGATCAGCGTGGCACATCTACCATTGATGCCCGTGCATGTTGCTCTCTATCGCGATGTTCAAAATGCCGCCTTTCTGAAAGGTCAACTTCTCGACGGTCAGGCAGAATTCGAGTATGCATTTATCGATGCAAGCATGGTATGTTGAGTTGTCACCAAGGACTATGAAAGGGAACTAGGCAACTGACATTAAGCAACAGGTTCTGTCAAGGGCTCAAGTCATTGCTGCAGTATTCAGAGCAGTTAATGATTACATGCACAATCGACTGAAGTCTCACAATGTGCATTCTGAGATCGTATTCTCATTGAACCCTACGAATAATGTGGGTTGCCAATTTTAGGAGTTAGCGACGATTTTGCCACTAAAGCCGGGGCTAACACGGACTTAGATCACCGAATCGTTCCGTAGATTTGGTATTACCGATTCAACCAAAGATCTGTTGGTGGTCAAGGTCTCTGTCTCTCCGGAGATAACACATGAATCCGTTGCGGCCCACTTGGACAGCTCGGTTCAAGGAACACCTGTGCCTTTCGATGACCAGACACTCTCCGAGATGTCTGATATCAGCAAGATCAAGAAAGCATACAAGCTAGGGGCTCTGCCTTCGCCAACGACCAAGAAGAATGATGAGGCTAAGCAACGACTCGAAAATTCCTTGTTGAGTTCAATCGCCCTGAGTGGATCGTGAGCAATTGCCGATATCAAAGAACCAAATTCACTGTGCTCGAAATTCCTGAAGCCTGCCGTGGGACGAGTGGGAAATGCATGCATTCTCCAAGTCGTGCTGTTTTTCTCCGGCGTGGGATACATTGAGCTCCAAATTGGCTCCGACTTGAGAATATGCCTGTCATCAATCACAAGCAGATCCTATGGGGTTTTTAGAGGTCTACTATTATTCAGCCCCAAGATTGAGCTGAGAACACTCCGGATTTGCACGAAGTCAAGATAATGATGAATTGAATGAAATATTCCCGAGATGCAAGGCAGTTCGACACTGGTCGTTTGTTTAGTGTGATACAGGACAGTAAAAAGACGTCTTCAAATCAAGAATTAATTGATTCCATAAGCATTCAGCGTAAATATGTCTAAACTGGATTTACTCTGCTGGGGTGAATGCAGTTGGTTGCCGGGCCAAACTACGGAGTATGTACATAGAGCTTTGCCAAGACCGCGGGCGATCGACCCTTGTGGATCGAAATATTGAACTCGGATCTCCAAACGCTACTTCTCCAGCATACCCAACTCGCAGACACTTTATACTGTTTTTCCGAGGTATAAATGTTGCCTAGGATATGTCCTGATATAGAAAACCCAAGCAGTGCACGCGACTCGCCCTGATCAATCAAGCAAACACCAGAGACGCGACTTGCCACGATGGCCAGCATTGCAGACGTGATCATTCTGTCGTCCTCTCCAAATCCACCGCGGTCACCAAGGCGAGGTAGGCATGATGCAAAGCCGGTACCTTGTGTCTTGCCACGAGGTACAACGCCACCACCAATAAGCTCGACATCCGATTTGTCCCAACCTCATACGCGTTCCCGGTTTTTTCCCACTCCAATCGCGAGCAATATTTGTTGTAAGGACGTCACGAAGCCGAAAAAGCGATTGCCAAAGAAGGATCCTACTTCAGACACCAGCAATAAAACCGCGGTGAACAAACCGCGGCGGAAGGCGCAGAAAACCGCGGATGCGCCAGGAATAATTGCGCTTGGGGACCCCAAGCCAGAGACTGTTGGCACAAAGAATGACACAATGAAACCAACAAAAAGCCGTCCTCGAAAGAATGCCAAGAGTAAAGATGCGGGAAACATGACTCTGGCTGGGAAAGTTACAAAGACAAGCGGCGATCAACCAGCAAAGAAATCGAGCAAAGGTGGGAAGAAGACGGTTGCCACAAAGTCATCTCCTTCGGAAGATGTACCCAACAAATCTACTCCCAAGGAATCAAATGCTTTAGGAAAGAATGAGGTGTTACATCTAGACGAGGCAATGAGAAGAAGGATGGACTGGACACCACCAAGGGAGACCGCTTACGAGGAAACTGTCACCGTGAACGATGGTGAAATCCCGTATAAGGATCATGATACGAACCTTACAGGTGTATTTGGCAAGTTGGTATCCGATTATAATTACTCCGGGTTAGCTTTGAACCCCAGCGACCTCTTGCAGAACGACAATGGCAGAGGACCAACGAAGCGTCGGCGGATAGAGTTGGTCAATCCTGAAATCCAATCATCACTCGATGGAAGGTACTCTGATTCAAATGATCAGGCGTCTGCTCAAGGAGAGAACTTGGAAAAGCCCAAAAAGACAACCAAGGGCAGACCTAAGAAGTTCACCACCTTGACAGCGCGCATGACTGCGCAATATTCAACAAATGATGTAGAAGAGGATGAGCCGGTGATCGATTGCCTTCCGGACATCAGAACGACAAAAGGTAGACGAAGAAAGGCCAAAGAGACAGAGAAACAGTCTTTGTTCACGGTACTTTCCCCGGAAGCAGCCGTTGAACTTCTGAATGATCAAGATCTTGTATTTGGCACCTGCAGTCAATTGCAAAGAGATGATTCGCCGCAGACTCTGCGGGAGACTCAGCAAGCTATCCATGCTTCCGAAAGTCTTTCATATCTAGAAGGGACGCGCAATAAGGACCCCAGCGTGATCCAGGAGTCGTCTACTCGTTTTGTATCAAGGTTGGCAGGCACCAGGAATCTGTGGTGTGTTGGCGCCAGAGACACTGAAGGATCTTTGATTCAACCACAAACACTAAACGTGGTTGACTTGACGGATGAACCTCCTGCCAAGGAGGGTGTGGAACAAGCAAGCCACAAACCTCTTCAAAGGAACTGGTTCGAGCTTGAATTCGCAGACATAGATTCACCCCCAGAAAAGAGACCATCATCACCTCCCTTGACCAAAAGGGGCTTGGATTCTGACACACAAGTTCAAGCTCCGGCTCCGATCCTGGCAGCTACAGCTACGGCTATGGCTACGGCGAAGGCCAAGGCGACTACAAAACCTGCAAGTGGAGCCAATGATACTCCGACTGAAGCGGTTGGTTCCCAGTCAACTAGCTCGCAGGCGCCCTCAGTGCCACAATATACCGGATTCACGGATGCAGAGTTGTCTAAACAGATCTCCAATTATGGCTTCAAGGCAGTCAGAGGCCGCAAGAAGATGATCGATCTCCTTCAACAATGTTGGGAATCGAAACACGGTAGCAATGCTACCCCTGGCAGCCAGCCTATTTACCAACCCGAGCAACAGCAAGAACCTGCCTCTAAAATGGACAACGTTCCGAAACCCACCTCGAAGGGGACGGTGAAGTCTAAATCTGGAACATCTATAAAGAACCGAAAATCACTCGACGCGATAAAATCAACACCCGCCTTACGAACCAATTCCCAGACAAGCCCAAAGAAAAACCCAGGAGGGAAGCCTATCACTGGGACTTCTACGTCATTTATTGATGTAGAAGAGATTCAAGACTCAGAAGAAGAAATCACTCCCTCTCCAAGTCAAGTACAAAAGCACTACACCGATATCTATTCAAAGTCCAAGGCCGGCAGCCGGGTACAACACCACTCCTTGGATATCTTCACAAAAACACCACCACCGAGCCCGACCAAGCGCAAGGTCGTTTCCTCCAATATAGTCAAAGGACCACCATCCTCTGCACCCATCGCAACCACCTACACAGCAGACTCCTCAACAGAAATCAACTTGGTAGAAATATCTGCACAGATCACCCAAGCTGTTCGCGTTCAACCTCGGCTCTCGCCGCTATCATCATCTCGTGGTAGCCGTAATCGACCGACGTGGCATGAGAAGATCCTCATGTACGACCCTATTGTTCTGGAAGATTTTACAGCATGGCTCAACATCGAGGGACTTGGACTTGTGGGTGAGGATCGCGAGGTTGGCACTGCGTCTGTGAGGGAGTGGTGTGAAAGCAAAGGGATCTGTTGTTGCTGGAAAAATAATGCCAGCTGGTAAAAAGGCCGATGGTTATTTGCATTGCATTTCTATTATGGATACCCAGTGCACAATTTGGGCTTACATGGTCACACTACACATATACCCATTGACTATCATTTTGGAAATGAGACGAAAATATTTGATTATCTCATCTACTGTAAGAGATCTCTCCTTTAATTCAAAATGCAAGCATTTATGTACCCCGAAAAAACACAAATCTTGTCACCATGTGCCACCCCAATCTTCTCGATCATACACTCCATCTCGGCCAGAGCAGGACCGATACAAACAGGAAACACGGAACTAAGCCCACGAGGTATGATAAATCATGGGAAAAAGGGCATCACAGTCACAGTAGACTATGGTGATGATTTCTGGGATCAAGGTTTGGCTGGTAACTGAGTTAGCATCAGTCCGTGGATATCTCACAAAGATGTGGATCCTAGAAGAGATGAATAAAGACATACCTCGTAGTGGTCCATGAGATTGGCTCTGTAGGAGCCGTCCAGACAGTTCTGCAGCTGTAAATTCTTCTGCTGAAGCTGTGCGATCTGCTCCTTTAGATCCATATTCTGCTTCTGGAGGTTCTCGATAAGAGCGCACATCCGCCCAGCCTCGCCACGCACCCAGGTCTCACCGGTGACACGGTCAGTGACTTTGCATGGGATGTTGAGGATAAGGCAACAACCGCAGCCTCTAAGATCGGGCGTGCACTTCATCTTCTTGAGCTACATATCGATTCAAACGCGTCAGCATGGTGCTCTGAGTCAAAGCAAACGAGGTATCGGAATATGATAGATAGACATACCTTGCAACGATCACAGGCCTGACCAACACGATGTTGGGACTTCGTGACCTTGGAACGCACCATGGCCGACCAGTCGGGCTCTGGGTCATAGCGGCTGCGGCGAGTCTTCTTGGGCTTCGGGCCATTCTCGCTAGGATCGTCGTTGATGGGCTCGTCGTCCGGCATTGTAAAGTCTGGGGTATCCATGATGAGGTTGGATGGTGCTGTTCTTGGAAATGATGGTTAAATGGGTTCTCATCCCGTCTTCTTATGCAAAGTACCGAAGAAACAGTTTTTAGTCTGGGTTTGAGATCTTGGAGGACTTGCCTTTCATTTTTCAGGCTAGTTTCAGGTAGGAATCACTTTTCTTGCCTTTTTCTTTTTCTTCTATCCAGAGAAAAGATCCGATTCTGATCTCATTCTGATCACAAAGCCTTTGTCTCTGGTAAGATCCCTTTCTTCAGATGGCTTCGCTGTCTCAACAGAGCGTATGACAATCAATTGGACTGATGTCTCACCCTATTTGCTTTGTTATACCTAGAGATTCCCAATCAGAGTATCGACAGAGCCATTGTTGTATACTCTTAGCTATTTTGCACGTGGGATGCCTCCTTATTGTCCTAGAAATTGTCTTAGCCTTCTAAAATTGCTCTTTATCTTTGTGCCGTTGGTTCTTCTTAATGATTATACTGTCTAAGAGTAAGTGGAACTATTTCCCACTTAGACGCTCATGGCCCAATAGTAAGGGTTTAGTACTTGTCAGTGCAATATAACTTTCATCAGGCTATTATTCTCAGCTCCACCCTTATTCATACACATTATTTCTTCGTGGGAGATATTCCAAATTGTAAAACAAACTAAGATATCACCCATCAGGGGAGCTTTGGGAATTCGATGGCTAATTCAAATTTCCATGAATACGAGTATCATCTCTGTAATCCTCATCCACGGCGTTATAAATGCTAGCGGGTTGAAAAATTGGCCAGACTAGAGCTACATCCTACGTTAAACTTGAGAGCAAATGTACAAAGAACGTGATAGCGATGATAATGAGATTGAGATAAAATATAAGAATAAAATATATAAAGAATGTTGTGATAGAAACCAATGTCTCCCAGCTCTGCGTATCCTATGGTCCTATCAAATCCAAGGCTAACTTAATCATAACGACAGTGGGGGCAAGAATTGGGGTGAAGAGTCGATCAGATTGATCTTAGAATGGAAAGGAAATAAAGAAAGAGGCGATTGAAAGAGAAAAGAAAAAAGTCAAGCTGAAACGAATGTGAAGAAGAAGAGAAAGAAATAAGAGAAAAACGACAAAAAAACGAAAAAAACGAACGGCTCTCGAAGCTAAGAGTCTGAAGCCCGACGTCGTTTCCGAGACACAGTAGGTGCAGGTGCCACAGGTGCGGGTGTCACAGGAGCAGGTTCAGACATAACAGAGGGCGATTCACTCGCGCGATCATGCTGTTCTTTCGCCTCCAGAAGTCGAAGTTGATTTCTGCACTGATCAGCTGAATACCACCTAGTACCACCAAGTTCTTTCATCTAAAGAAGAAGAAAAGACACGTTAGAACTCTCTATAGAACATGGACATGGGAAATCTCACCTTGTCTGAAAGATACTGAAATTTGTCATTTGCCCAGTTCCTATGGGCGTCGAGCAAAAGTTCGATCTAGTAGACTTGCGTATCAGCACGGACTGTTCAACACATGTACATTCCAGCCCACACATATTGCTTATACCATGTGTTGCGAGGGGTTACGCACTCACATCGGAATTCGCCCAGCGCACCTTTCGCTCGCGGTAGCGGCGATGAAGACGCATCTGCAGGCGTGACTCAGAGGCTTCTTTCTGGAACTTCTCCTCGAATTCCAGACGCACGACCTTCCAGGCCTTCTTTTTGTCTCGCAGATCTTCGACAAATGCGTCTTCATACTCTGCTCGGGGGTCGCGCCGTCCACGGCCCGGAGCCCGGGGCTTACGGAGTATGTGGGAAGAGGGCTGGATATCCTGGCGGTCTTGCTCCATTCGGCGAACACCCTCTGGATTAGGAGCAATGTTGATTGGGGCATTGCTCGGCTGCTCGCTCGAGGACGTGTCCGAGGATTGATGTCTGGCACGCTTGGCTGGGGAGCCCTGTGGGGAGCCCTGTGGCGACTGGCTAGGCGCCTCTGCCACACCATGCTGGACACCACTTGGGTCCGGAGCGTACATGTCGGGACTGGGGGCCAAAGACCGGGGGAAATTATCCGGGAAGGGTGCAGAGATACCAAGACCCACTGTGGCAGAGAGGGGGTCGTTGATGATGTGCTGGTGCTCATCTGCGTAGTAGCCCTGAGAGTGGTAACCGAATTCTGGGCCGGGGTGGAACGAGCTCTCCAGAACACCCAGTGGCATCAGCATGCCGGGTTCAGCTAGAGTCTCGGCGAAGTCAGGGCTGTAGCATCCCACGTACGGGGTCTAGATCGTAAACGGGGTCAGCTCATGTCGCAGAAGCATACAATGTCCTGTCTCAGAGGTGCATAGGACATACCGCTGGCATCATAGGCCAATCGGCTGGCATTCCTTCGTAGTACTCTCCCATTTCTTCAACGTAGGTGATATCCGAGCGGTTCGACATGACTCAGGTGGAACAGTGGAATATAAAACACGGGGTGATTCACGGTCGACAACGTTGTCTGAGTGGGGAGAATAAACGCCGAAGCAGCAGATGTGAAACGAAGTATGAAACTCGAGGCAGGGGAATATGTGGGACTGCAGGTGGCTGACAGACTATGGTTGAAGCTTTGGAATTGTTGGTGTATATCAACGAGGCCTTTCGCTCTGAATGATGAAGAGAAAATCCGACTTCCCAACCACCGAAAGCAGTTGATCTTATAAGATTCATGCGAGCAAGAAAAGAGGGGAAGATTGAAAAGCAAAGGAGATGCACAATTCCGCCCATACCTCCACTTTGGGGAGATATCACAGCCAGCACCGGGATGCCTCGTGAGGTAAGATGTGAACAATCAGTCGCGGAATTAATCATAGGCTCAGAGCGCACCAAAACAGAGATCGGTACCGCCGGTGAGCCCTGAGCTGCATTAGAACGTGGGAAACTCATGAAAACTCGACGAGAGCCTATGTCTTAGCGCTGCGGGCTCGTTAGTTCAATGCTGATATCCATCCCGGGGATCAGACTCTGCATTGCGAATAGGGATTAAGGTGATTCTATGAGCCCAGGCCCACTGCAACGGGCCAGAAGGAAAAAGCAAAAAAGCCAAAAGCAGGCAAGAAAAAACAAAAAAACGTGTTGCTTAGGGTTGTGGATGATCTTCCAAGGAGCCAAAGCGTAGCGCTTAGAGATCTGGAGAGGTCCAGTGCATGAATTTTGGACCCATCAAAAACTATAATGACCATAGAGTCATCATTATAATATAATAGTTGTATATTATATTATCTTGTAGCATATTGTAGGATGTTGTAGCATACCATAGCATATCATAGCGTATTGTAACATGGCCGGATCTTGCAATTTAGTTCTAGTCAGACATAAATGCGCAACTGCCCCTCTTCATAAGGATGTTCGGCACAGGTCATCTACTCTAATATTGTTTAATCTGGCAGGCCCCACGAGAAGAAAGGAAGAAGCAAAAAAACCCCCCCTCGTCTAGACGCTACTAGATTCCAACACACCGGTTATTGGGAAGATGGAGGGATTACGATCCCTCTACAAAGTACATTCTCCATAAAATCTTCATAAAATCTCCATGCATTCTCCATTTCCCATGCAGAGGCGTTGTTCAATGACCGGCGGTTCGCGACTGGCCACGGATGACCCGAATTCCTCCTGAGGCTGATGGAACCCCACGAGCCGCTTGGTGACTTGGTCCACGGGGAATCCACGACCACGGCTTAAGCGCTCATGCAGACACCCGGCTCATCGCGAGAATGCATGACAGCCTGGAACTTTCATTATGATGCTATTGATTTTATTTTATTTTATTTGCTTTGCTTTTTCTCAATCTCCAATCTCCACATCTGCGGTGATCGTTTGATTCCGGAGTCAGCTCTCCAAGCCACGTCCTGCTGCTAACCGCCCGAGAAAAAGCCAGGCGTTTCTAGACCTCGAATAATACGCTCATTTCTTTTGGATCTATCTTCTTATCACATTGCATCTTGGGAGTTGATGGATTCCCACCAATCTTGGACAGTGTTAAACCAACTTTGGAGGACTGGGATGTTTCTT